AGCACTTGGTGCTCTTGGTCTTCCTGGCAGCCTGTTAAGTGTATAGTGGAATCTCCTTTGGTTTTAATTGTGTTTTCCTTTTGACTAATGATGTTGAGCATCGTTTCATGTGCTTATTGGCCATTTGGATATCTTCTTGTGTGCCTGCTTAAGTCTTTTGCCCATTTAAACAATTGAGTTGTTTCTTATGGATGTATAGGATTTCTTTATGTACTCTAAATATAAATATTTTGTCAGAAAATGTATTTTTTGAAATAAAATAATCATAACATAAAATTAACCATTTCAAAGTGTACAATTCAGTGGCATTTAGTATATTCACAATATTGTGCAACCATCACCACTATCTTGTTCCAAAATTTTCATCTCTCTGAAAGAAAGCCTCGTTCACATTAAGCAGTCTTGCCCCACTGTCCCTCAGGCCATGCCAATCACTTTTCTGCTTTCTGTCTCTATGGCTTTCTCTATTCTGGGTATTTCATATAAGTGGAATCATACAATATGTGGCCCTTTGTGTCTGGCATCTTTCACTTAGCATACTTCTTCCCAAGTTCATCCACACAGTAGCAGGCATTATGACTTCATTCCTTTTTATGATTGTTATTCCACTGTATGGATAGACCACATTTTGGTTATCCATTCAGCAGGTGATGGGCATTTGGGTCGTTTCCACCTTTTGGCTATTGCGAGTAGCACTTTTATGAATATATGTGTACCTGTTTTAAAAATTCTTTTGAGTATATACCTAGAAGTGGAATTGCTGGGCCAGATGGTAGTTTATGTTCAGATTTTTGAGAAACTGCCAAATGATTTTCTAAAGCACCTGCACTATTTTACATTCCTAACAGCAGTGTATGAGGGGTCCCATTTCTCCACATCCTCAACAACACTTTTTATTGTTGGTTTTAAAAATTCTGACCATTCTCATGGGTGTGAAGTGATATCTCATTGTGGCTTTGATTCGTGTTTCTCTAAGTACTGGTGATATGGAATATCTTTCATTGTTGTACTGTTTGGCCATTCATGTATTGTCTTTGGAGAAACGTCTATTCAGATCCTTTGCCCATTTTTTAGTTGGACAACTTGTCTTTTTATTAGTTGCAAGAGTACTTTATGTATTCTGCAAACTAGACTCTTATCAAATCCATATGTATTTGATTTACAGATGCTTTTTCCCATTCTGTAAGTTTTCTTTTCACTTTCTTTATGGTGTTCTTTGGTGCACAAGTTTTTTCAGTTTTGATGAAGTCCCGTTTCTCTACAGTAGTCCTCCAGTTTATCCATGGTTTCGCTTTCTGTGGTTTACCTGTGGAGACCAACAGTGAGTTCAGCTTTCCACAAGTTGACATATGGAGCAGACAGAATGCCACAATAATAGCAGATGATCTTCCTGACATGGTATCAGAGGGTCAGTAGTAGCTTAATGCTACATCACAATGCCTACGTCATTCACCTCACTTCATCTCATCATGTAGGCATTTTATCATCTCACATCATCACAAGAAGGGGGAACACAGCACAATATATTTTGAGAGAGACCACATTCACTTAGGTATTATTGCAGCATATTGTTGTAATGGTTCTACTTCATTATTAGTTATTGTTGTTACCTCACTGTGCTTAGTCTGTAAATTAGCACAGGTAGGTTTGTATGTACTAGAAAAAACGCAGTATATAGAAGCTTCAGTACGATATGTGATGTTGGGCCTCCCCTGGGGGTTTGGAGCATCTCCTCCACAGATGCAGGGTAAATGTTGTATTTTTTTCTTCTTGTGCTTTTTGTGTCATATTAAAGAATTCATTGCCAAATTCAAAGTCATGAAGATTTACTCCTCTGTTTTCTTCCAAGACTTTTATAGGTTCAGCCCTTACATTTAGCTATTTGATTCATTCTGAGTTAATTTTTGTATATGCTGTGGGGTAGGGGACCATCTTCATTCTTTGACATGTGGATGTCCAGTTGTCCCAGGACTATTTGTCAAAAGGATTGTTCTTTTGTCTTTGAACGGTCTTGGCACCCTGTTGAAAAGCAATCATCTATAGATACGTGGGATTATTTCAGGACACTCAGTTCTACCCTATTAGTCTATATGTCTATCCTTCTGCCAGTACCACACTGTCTCAACTGTAAAAAGGGTTGGACAAACCAGCCTCCTGCATTTGATGGGAAGGTCCCTGAGTGCAGGGACCCCACTTCTGTATCCCCAGTTGCACCCCGGAGCTCACAAAGAGGGCCCTTGCCATGGATGGGCTGTGGTCCTGACCCTGATCTGAGTACAGAGGACTGGGTAAGGCAAATTTGGGTGAGGGACTTACCAGAGCTTGATGACCGTTGGTTAGAGGGATTTAAGCCAAGAGACAAAGTCAAAGATGATTTCATAGCTTTTAGCCTCAGTGCCTGGCATGATTATCATTCTCATGTCAGAACTGTGGAGGGTAAGTGGGAGACCTGATGTGGAGACCAACAGTGAGTTCAGCTTTCCACAAGTTGACATATGGGGCAGACAGAATACCTTGAGGCAACCAGGAGCCAGACAATGAGAGTGGGCGGTGACAGTCAGTTCTCAAGGACTGTGAGCCCAGCTGTGGTCTGTGCTGGGGGCATGGGGTTCTCACAACCCTGTCAGCCCATTTACATACCAGAGGACCCACACTCAGCAAGGTGAAGTGGCTTGCCCAGGGGCACACACTCCTAAATTAGAGGGCTGGAATGCATACCCACACACTGCCTGTGAAGGGTGCTGGCTCCAGCAGTCTGTGCTACTGGGTTATTTCTGCCAGAGAACAGCCCTGGACTTCTGCCCCCGCTCCGGGGATGGGATGCACCAGCTGAAGGCAGAGAGCTGGGATGGGACAAGGCTCAGATGTGGATGAGGTGAGGAAGCCATAATTTCAGGCACCTGCAGAAGCTGTTTGTGAAGAAGTAGAATATCAGGAATTTCCATTTTGGCGTGGACTTGATGACTAGACCTTGTTAGACTAAGCAGCTGAAGTGAGTAGAGATCTTAAGACAGCACCAGGCCTCCCTTTGGCCTTTAGTACCTTTTCCCGGTCTGCTTCTTTAGTCCCCACCAGCATTCACCTTCTACCCTCCCTCCGCAGGCAGAGGGCCTCAGAGCCCACCTGCAGTAACCCTTTCACTGCCAGCCTTCCCTGCTTCCTTTTGGAGATCCTCTCCAGCTGCTTCTGCCACTAGAGGCAGACCCCTGGTTTCCAAGTGTTCCTGGGCCCCCAGGGGGCTGTGTGAGCAGGGGGTGGGGGCGGGGTAGTAGGGGGTGGGGATTGTTGGTGGGGGTTATAACATCCTCGGCTCCGGTCCACTGTGTGCAGCTCCCTTAGATGGGGACTGGTTTTCTTGAGCCCTGATGCTCTTGTCTACTGGGACGGAGCCTTGAGGCCACCCATGGGTGGGTTTCCCCCTCCACAGACATTGCTGTACCCACCGAGCAGCCTGAGCTCTCCTCCCAGGGTGGGATGAAGGGTGGCTGGGGAGGGGAGAGGACAGAGGGCTGAGGTAGGGGCAGGGGCAGGAGGGGAAGAGGCAGCAACTCTAGGCCTGGTTGCTGTGGCTTTGGGCAAGCTCCTGTCCCTCTGTGGGCAGCAGTCCCTCCTCTGCGGACTGGGGGAGTACTGCGCTCACAAGGTCACTCGTGATGAAGTGAGACAATGCAAAACAAATTTGAGAACAGGCCTGCTGTGGCCAGCACTGGGGATGGGGTGGTTGTTACAGCAGCCACTGCAGTTAGCTGGGAGGTTGTGACGGAGAGTGAGGGCAAGGGAGCGGAGGAGCAGGTAACTGGGGGCTCAGGGGCTTGGGAAGCACCCTGCAGGGGGCCGTCCCACCTCTCTGTGTGAAGTCTGGAAGGGAATGTGGAGAGGAAAGGGTCTGGAGGGGACAAAGGAAGGAGAGGTGTAGGAACCAGGCAGGTGTGAAGTTTCTGTGTGAAGCTGGCGTGTACCTGGGCACTCGGTGGCCCATACACATCAGGAAACACCTGTCCTCTCCAGTCAACAGAGAGCCAGATTACCCACCTTCTCCACCAATGCCCCCATTCCCCACCAGCCCCCGCAGTGGCCCTACCTTCCCCACCCCTCATCCCCCCTTGCAAGGCCCTGCCCTAATGAGGCTGCTGGGAGATGGTTTCCCTGTAGGGCATGCCCAGTCTAGGTTAATAGCTTCTCCCTGGGCCTGAATAATGTCCTAGAGCCTGCAATAAACAAAATGTGGTCATCAGTCCTCTTTCCCTGCCAGCTCCCAGATGCTCGCCATAGAATTACAGCTGCATGTCCACCCCCAGAGCCAGGGCAGTGTCCACTCAGCTGTCCTCTGGGGGTGGGGCCTGGATGTCCTGCCTAGAGGCCCTGCAGAGACCATGTGGCCGTGGCCTTTGGGCTGAGCTGGGACAGAGAAGATGAATAGTGGAGCAGGGGTCCAGGGACTCAGTTTGGGGTCATCAGGACCCTGACCACTCACGTGACCTCCTACCCTGCCTTCCTTCCCACGTGCTCCCGCACCTCTCCCCTCGGCAGCCTTATCTCCTTGGAACCCAGAGTTGCCCGCGGTGCTTCCCTGCTTAAAGTCTATCAGTGGCTCCGCACTGCCCGAGGATGGAGTCCAGATTCCTTGGCTGGCGCTGGGGACCTTCCCATTCAGCCTTCAGCCCTCAGGGACTCCCTCTTCCCCACCCTGCAGTTGGGCCATCCCAGTTGCTTGCCGTGCCCCCAAGGTGCCCATTTCTACTCTGGGAGTGGTGTGGGAGGCAGTAGCCTCTAGTTAAGGACACGGGTCACTGCTGGTTGCTCAGGGAGGAGCTGTCCAGTGCCCCTGACATCCCTGGGTTCCTTTTCCTCCTGAGCACCTGTTGGACCACAGTTCTCAGCCCTCTTGACCTGGAGATGAGTCAGGCCAGTGGGAAGTGGGCAGAAGAGACACATGCCATTTCCACTTGGCCCACAAAAATTCTCCTAGTGTAATTGTCCATTCGGTTTCTTCTCTGCAGCAACCTGAAAGCCATGGGCTGAAGATGGTGGCACTGGAGGATAAGTGGAGCCTGGGTTCCTGCATTGCAGCTTGGAGGAGAGCTGCCTGACTAACACAGGGCTGTGATGTGAGCAAGAGATCAACTTGTGCTAAGCCACAGTGCTCTGAGGGGGGGTGCTTTGTTAGAGCAGCTAGCCTACCCTGATTTACTAAAATCTTAGGAGTGACTGTGGGCAAGTCATGTAACACAAGATTTGGTTTTCTCATCTGTGAAATGAGACAAAATACCTACCTCACAGAGTTATGGAATAAGACAACAACAGGTACTTAATACTCTCAATAATTGAGGCTATTTGGCATCATCACTAGGCCTTTGCTTGAGCGATTCCCTTGCCTGGCCTTTTCTCCCCAGTCTTCTCCATTCTGGGCCTCGCTGCTCTGGGGGGCCTTTCTGAGCCTCCAGCTTTAGGGCTTCCACACCTGGCCTCAGCAGGTAGGAGAGACTTTTTCAAACAGATTCACCCTCTCTCCTCTCATTGTGCCAGCTGGTGGGAGTGTAGACCACATGGTCATTCCAGGAGCCCCTAGGATATACACGCATAGCTCCTCAAGCTGCCGTCCCACTACTGGGTGTCCTTCCAGGAAGCCCACCCACAGGTTCACAGGTGTGTCTACAGTCTTCCCGAGGATGTTCCTTGTAGTGTTGTTTATGGTGGTGAAGCATGGAATTAAATCAGCCGTCTGACATCAGGAGAACAGATAGGTACGAGCCACAAAGTCGTCGGGGGCCACAAACAAGGCGACCTGCAGCTGCTGGGAGATCTTAACACATGCTGCGGCATCAAAAACCATGATGGACAGAGGCTATGCTGTGAAACCACTCCCATGAACTAAAAACACAAGTGTATTCGAATCATACTAGTTCATTCTAAGGATACATGGGTATTTAAGGACATCCATGGGGGACTAGGAGGAGGAAGGGGGAGGAGTGGAAAACGGAAATAAATCCTGTGAGTGGTGCCTCACAGGGCCTGCAGGGCTGTGAGCAGAGGCCTGTGTCTAACTGACCCAGGCACTCAGAAGGAAGGGGCGGGCAGGGAAGGGTGTGTGGCTGGAGAAAGGGTACCTGCCACAGGGGATGTGACAGTTGCATGGGGACTGCAGGGAGTTGGGGTGGGGGGATTCTTGCAGGGCAGCAGCTTCAAGGAGCAGACTTTGACTGTGCAGGCCTCTGACTGTGCGCGCAGGGACGGGGCAGGGGTGGGAGTTCTCGGAAACTGCCGCCTTCCACATGCCTCTCTGCTGGGGTCAGGGCATGAGGCTGAGTAGCCAGACTTCTCAGGCCACCTCTGGCTGTGTGCAGAAGGCGGCTGTCCCCACTGGAGGGGTGGGAGCTTTGGCCCCTGGAAGCAAGCCAAGAATGTGGATGCTCAGAAATGTGTGGACGTGAGCAGTTCTGTGATCCCTGGCCTCTGGCTGGCCAGCCAGGAGCCAGGCCTGAACTCTTTATCTCCCTCTCCCATACTGGAGGCCTGGAGTCTGACAGCTCTACACTGGCCCTGGCTTGAGCAAGAGGAACCCCAGGGCAGAAGAGGGGGAAGGCACTGTGAAAGTCTTGGCAGCTTGACCTCAAATGCCTCCTAATTAAAGGGACACTGCACAGTGAGTGCCGGAGGTCATTGAGCATTGGTTCCAGGATGCAATGGCCTTGCCAGGCCTTGGGGAAGAGGCAGGTGGGCTTCTCATCCACCTACAGGCAACCCAGGAGCTAGCACCATGAGCTGTGGCAGTGCCCTGGGCTCCGGGAGACAGAGACATGGGTCCCCATCCTTTCTGGTCCTGAACCAGTGGAGTGGCCTTGGGCAAGTGGCTTCCCTCCTCTCGAAGGAAGTTATGAGGCGAGTTTCACTTGTGGACGTGGAGAAACTTCCTTTGTAAACTGTGAAGTGCTGCCTGAGTGGGATGTGCAAGGAAGCCCATGGTTTGATGGTCTTGGCTGGGAGAGCAGACAGGCCCCAGTGGTCAGGCAGGTGTCTGGGCTGCAGGCTGGGCCCTTCTCTTTTGCATCTCCTCTCAGCCCAGCACCTGGGCTGGGGCAAGTATGATCCAAGACTGGACCCCGGCCTTGGCCAGGACACAGGTTTGGAACTTGAAGGAGCCCCATCAGAAAGCGTTTTGGCAATTGGGAAGGACTATCCTCCTGAGAAGGGTTATTACAATGGTGAGGTGGGTCTGATACCTCTGGGAGACAAATGGGAGAGCTGCTCCTGGGCCGTTCCAGACCTGACTGAGGTCAACGGGGCACATGGCGCTTGAAAGTGAGCATTGCTGGTGCATTTGCTGCCTGAGCTGGCCTGTTCTCCCTGGGGGCCCAGTTAACTGGAACACAAATGCTTAAGCTGAGCAGTCATTAAGTGGGGTGACCAGGATCTAAATCCAGGCCTCTTTACCCCATAACATCTATTAAATCCACTCATGCATTCTGTCCCTGATGTGAGTCCTTTAGGGGTATGGTAGGCTCAGGTATCTGATGTCAGGATCCCACAATCAGTCCCATGGCAAGCATGATGGGCTTGCTGTAGGGAGCCACCCCAGGACACTCTCAGGCTGACCTGATGATTCTGGGGGATTTCAAGGTTGTCAGTCACCACCACCCTGTGAATCAGGGAGGATCCTGAGGCAGCCTTCATTTCCAAATTTGTGAGGGGAGGTGGAATTTGGGAGGGCAGGGCTGAGCCATGAACCAGAATTAATTTTGGGAAAATGACCTTGTACATCCTGGAATACAGGCCCCCAGGTGCCCAGAGGACAACTGGCACCAGGAGGTAGCAAAGGGACTGGGACAGGGAGGAAGAATGTTTGTAGGCATTTTAGGGCAGATGTTTGCAGAGTTTGGCCAGCTTGCAATTAAGATGAAAGACTGTGGCATTACTGCCCAAAGCCTGGCATGCAGGAAACACTTAATAAGACCCTTAAGGTAAAAATGATATACATCATGAATGGGGACATTTTCTGTGGGGTGTTAAATTTCTTGGAAGGAAAGAACAGCAGATGAGGACCCAGTCACTAGAGTGGGTCCCCCAGTCCAACTGTGATGTCTGTGTTGTGGAACCAGCTGTTAGCTGAGGTGCTGGGTTTAGGGCGTTTGACTCAAATGATTGGGGATGAATGTGCAGGGCTGGTTGGAGCCTTGATGGAACCAGAGGACTAGTTGTGCATGTGTCTTGAAGGATGAGCGGGAAAAGGTACAAAGGTATGTACTGCCCGCCTGGCTTCCAGGGAGGGCCTACAGGCTCCTTCAGTTTGGGGACACCCAAGCCTTGCTGGGCTGCTTGAATGTGTCCTCCAGTCTGGTAGAGAAGGAGTGGGTGTGGGGACTGAGCAGGACCAGGGAGACCTGAACTCAAGGGCCCAGTTCCGTGTGATGGTTGTTAGCCCACCTGGAGCTGGGAGGACAAGGAGCCTGATCACATGAGCAGGAGCACAAGGGCAGAGCGGTGTGGGGAGGGCACTGGGCTGAGGGACTGGGGCTCTGATCCAGGCTTCAGTATGTCCTCTGAGGGTTCATAGTCCCTCTGCTTTGTGACCTCAGCTGTGAAATGAGGACAATGATGTCAAATCCCTGACCTGACCGGTTCACAGAGCTGATGGAGGCTGAAAAGAGGCAACAGATGCAGCTTTGGTAGGGTGCAGAAGGTTGTGAAAGACCATTGTTCCTGCCATAGCAACAAGGGTCAGTGAGCTCAAAGGCAGATTCAAATAAATTATCCAAACTGAGGAGCGCAGCAAACATCTTTTTAAATGTTTTCTTTAAAGCTATAAGAAAGCTGTGGATACACACACACAAAGTCTAAGTGAACTAAATTACAGAGAGGATCAGTCCTCCCAGGAGAGGAGAGACTGGCAGATGCTTTCATTCTACTAAGTGGGGGTGACTGCCTAAACTGGGTAGTGGTGGCATAGCACTCAGGCAGCACTTCACAGTTTACAAAGGAAGTTTCTCCACGTCCACAAGGCCTGACATAGGTGGAGGGACTTTGCTGAGAAAGGAGGAAAATGCCCAAACTTTCAACTAATTTAACTTATGTGGTAGATAAGAATCTGGAGGAGCTCCACATGAAGAGCTATCCCCTGCTAGCTGGCCTGCCAGTTCTCCATAGGGCTTTGGCTGAATAAACATCGGCTGGGGGCAGAGCTAGAAAGAAGAGAGAGAGAGATGGTCTCACAGTGCTTAGATTCAAAGCCCTGCTGGAGGGGCAGGAGGGCTGAGCTCACCATTGAAATATTGAAACCTCAGTGAATTGAAATGAACTCAGCTCCCATCTAGCTCAACTCGATCAATGAGATAAACCCCTCATGTTAGCAATCTGTCAGAGGGAAGACTGTCAGAATGGATCAGAAAATAAGATGCAAGTATGTGTTGTGTACAAGAAATCCACTTTAAATATAAAGACTTACATAGATTAAAAATAAATAGATGAAGAAAGATACCTAAAAGAAAGTGGGAAAAGCTATATTAATTTCAGACAAAGCAGACTTCAGAGTAAGGAAAGTTATCAAGGATAAAGAGGGGTGTTACATAAAGATAAAGGTGTCAATTCTCCAAGAAATCATACAGCCTTTAATGTCTATGTGCCTAACAACAGAGTATCAAAATATGTGAGGCAAAAATTGATAGAACTGAAAAGAGAAATAGGTGAATCTATTATTATAGTTGAAGGCTTCAACACATCTCTATCAGAAATGGACAGATTCATCAGGTAGAAAATTTATAGGCTACTTCATTCAACAGTAGAAGAATACATATTCTTCAGAAGCTCACATGGAATATTCACCAAGATCACATTCTAGGCCATGAAATACATCTTAACAGATTTTAAAGAATAGAAATCATACAATATCTGTTCTTAGATAAAAATCGAAGTAGACAAAAAAAACCAGTAACAGAAGGATAGCTGGAAAATAAAAAAATACTTGGAAATTAAACAGCACATTTCTAAATAATACATGGGTTACAGAAGAAATCTAAGAGAAATCTAAAAATATTTTGAACTAGATGAAAGTGAAAATACAACTTATCAAAATTTTGGAATGCAGTGAGAAAAATTTATAGCATTGAATGCATATATTAGAAGAGAAACAAGATCTAAAACCAATCACCTAAATTTACTCCTTATGGCACTATAAAAAGAAGAGTAAATTAAATCCAAAGTAAGCAAAATAAATTAAATTTAAAAAATCAGAGCAGAATCATTGAAGTTGAAAACAGGAAATCAATAGAGAAAAATCAATGAAAACAAAAGCTGTTTTTTGAAGATATCAATGAAACTGATAAGCCTTTAGCTAGTCTCACTAAGACAAAAAGAGAAAAGACACAAATCAGTATTAACAGAAATGAAAGAGAGGACATCACTATAGATCCTTTATTTAAAAGAATATTACGAACAACTCTATGCCTATAAATTTGACAATCTAGATGAAATGAACCAATTCCTTGAAAGATACAATCTGCCAATTCACACAAGAAGAAACAGACAATCTGAATAGGCCTATATTGATTGAGGAAATCAATTGAATAGTTAATAACCTCCCAAAACATAGAGTACCAGGCCCAGATGGGTTCACTGGTGAATTCTACCTGACATTTAGGGAGGAAATTACACCAATTCTCTACAGTTTCTTGCAGAAGATAGAAGGAATATTTCACTAACTCATTCTGTAAGGCCAGCACTACCCTCATACCAAAATCGGACAAAGAAATTACAAGAAAAGAAAACTATAGACCAATAAATTCCATGAAACTAGATGTAAAATTCCTTAACAAAATATTAGCAAATTGAATCCAACAATGTATAAAAAGAATAATACACCACAACCAAGTGGTATTTATCCCAGGTTTGCAAGGCTGGTTGAACATTCAAAAAACAATTAATGCAATCCATCACATCAGCAAGCTAAAGAAGAAAAATCTCATGGTCATATCAATAGTTGCAGAAAAGCACTG